AACCCAGGAGGCAGAGGTTGCGGTGAGCTGAGATCGTGCCATTGCACTCTAGCCTGGGCAACAGGAGCAAAACTCCGTCTCAAAAAGAAAAAAAAAAAGTAGTCGGGTCTGGTGGCACATGCCTGTAGTCCTAGCTACTCAGGGGGCTGAGGTGGGAGGATCACTGGAGCCCAGAAGATGGAAGCTACAGTGAGCTATGATTCAGCCACTGCACTCCAACCTGGGTGAAAGGGAGAGACCTTGTTTCAAAGGAAAAAAAGGGGGGGGCAGGTGCAGTGGCTCACACCTGTAATCCCAGCACTTTGTGGCCGAGGGGCAGGCAGATCACAAGGTCAGGAGCTTGAGCCCAGCCTGACCAACATGATGAAATCCTGTCTCTACTAAAAATAGAAAATTTAGACAGTTGTGGTGGCTCACGCCTGTAATCCCAGCTACACAGGAGGTTGAGGCAGGAGAATCATTTGAACCCAGGAGGTGGAGGTGGCAGTGAGCTGAGATTGTGCCACTGCACTCCAGCCTAGGTGACAGAGCAAGACTCCATCTCAAAAAAAAAAAAAAAAAAAAAAGGCGAGACGTGGTGGCACACAACTGCAATCCCAGCTACTCCGGAGGCTGAGGCAGAAGAATGGCTTGAACCCGGGAGGCAGAGGTCGCAGTGAGCCGAAATCATGCCACTGCACTCCAGCCTGGGAGACAGAGCTAGACTCTGTCTCAAGAAAAAAAAAACCTAGTAAACAAACAAACAAAAAACCTGATCACCTCAATGTTCCTTAAACACACCATGAAGTTCCCACATCAGTGGGATATGCAGTGAAATGTCAGCGGGATACGCATATGAAGGGATTTGCATATTCAGTGGTCCCTGCCTGGGCTGCCTTGACCAGTCTCCTCCATCTGGAGTCCTCACCATTCAGATCTCATCACCTCTGCCAGGCAGGTACCCTAACACTAGGGCAGCTAGTGACTAGGTCACATCTCCTCATCACAAGCTCACAAAGCGGCCATCACGGTGGCCAGGCACGGTGGCTCACACCTGTGATCCCGCCACTTTGGGAGGCTGAGGTCTCAGGATCACCTGAAGCCAACAGTTTGAGATAAGCCTGGGCAACATAGCGAGACCCCATCTTTACTTAAAAAAAAAAAAAAAAAGCAGCCGGGCGCAGTGGCTTATGCCTGTAATCCCACCACTTTGGGAGGCTGAGGCAAGCGGATCACTTGAGGTCAGGTATTCGAGACCAGCCTGGCCAACATGATGAAACCCGCCTCTACTAAAAATACAAAAGTTAGCCGGGTGTGGTGGTGCACGCCTGTAGTCCCAGCTACTCGGGGGGCTGAGGCAGGAGGATCGCTTGAAGCCAGGAGACAGAGGATGCGGTGAGCGGAGACCACGCCACTGCACTCCAGCCTGGGCAACAAAGCAAAGCCTCCATCTCAAAAAAAAAAAAAAAAAAAAAAAGCAGCCATCAGACTTCACTGTAATGATCTGTCACTTGAGACAGAGTCTTGCTCTGTCGCTCAGGCTGGAGTGCAGTGGCACGATCTCCACTCTCTGCAACCTCTGCCTCCTGGGTTCAAGCGATTCTCCTTCCTCAGCCTCTGAGTAGCTGGGATTACAGACATGCACCACTGACGCCCAGCCAATTTTTGTATTTTTTGTAGAGAAGGGGTTTCACCACGTTGGCCAGGCTGGTCTCAAACTCCAGGCCTCAAGCGATCTCCCCATCTTGGCCTCCCAAAGTTCTGGGGTTACAGTTGTGAGCCACCACACCTGGCCTCTTGTCACTTCTGTAATGAGGACGGGGACCATGCCTGTTGCTCCCCTCTGTGACCCCAGCACCCTGCTTGCTGCACAGGAAGCACTCAGAAAACTCAGATTTGGAGTCAAACAAACTTGTGTTCAATCCCCAAAGCTGGGGGAACTCCAGGAAGCAACCACTCCTGTGAGCTTGTTTCCTCATCTGCAAAACTGGAACAACATACCCAGAGCGTTGTGCTGTGGCGAAGTTTCAACAGAACGATGTTTACGATGCTGGATCCTCACAGAAGTTTGATAAATATTCATGGAGTAAATGAATAAATATTCAGCTTATTGTGGGTAACCCCCCTTCTGGGCACCGAGGAAGGAGAGCTAGGCAGACCCCCGGCACAATTAGTGTCTGAAGAATATCTTACTGTTCATTCATTTCCTTTTATATAATCCTTTTATGTGATTATATCTTAGTTTGTAGTCGGAGGAGTGTCAAGGGCAGACACGGTGCAGAGCATGCACTAGGGAAAACAGCCAAACTGGGACAAGAATCTGTGGCGCAGGCGGTGGTGCCCCTGCCTGCAATGGCATGCACTACATGGCAGGCCGGCCCAGGCGGCAGCGATCAGTATCATAAAAATATCCTCTGTATGGCAGGCTTGGAGCAAGAATCACTCCTCCTGTAGGGGAGCTGTAGTATCTTGCATCCAGTTCTTACGGAAAGCTGGCCTCAGGCCGGCAATCCTGAGAACGTCTGAGGGGTTAAAACCCCTCCGGCACAATTGCGCCCTGGTGGCTGTATACCCTGTCAGCTCTGTGCTACTGTGCTGGCTCAAAACATCCTCCTGTGGAAATCCTTAGAAGTTGCCTGCCCCTAGATAAGAGATGCTGCACACAGCACCCTCCTTGCTGCACACGGCACCCTCCTTGCTGCACACCGCCCACCTC